TCCTCCTCCTCCTCCTCCTCCTCCTCCTCCAGGGGAGCTGAGCCTGTCAGTCTTTCTTCCTCTCTATTCTTTCCTCTCTTACTCTCTCCATCCATCCATTTCTCTCTGCCTCCTTTCATTGATGACCAACCTGTCAGCAGCTCCTGTTGTGGCAGGCTGTGAATGCTCTGCATGGGACTGAATGATGCACAGTGTTTTTTTTACCACCACCGTGAAAGCATCTCTGCCTGTCCAGTGAGTGCTTTATCAGAGAGGGCCAATCTCTGATCGGTGACAATGTCTAACCCAAATTGAGGGATTTATCTTTAGAGATGAGGGAGAGGGTAGTGTTTACTTTGCTTGACTGCGTTCAGTGGTTCCTTTCTGAAACTCTTTGCGCCGAGGCACTCGGCGTTACGCAGTGTTCCTTACATCAGAGCTCTAATGAGCCAGTGGCCACATTAGCTCCAGCGCCGATAGAGCCACGCACTAGCTCTCTGCCAGGGGGCAGCGTTTTCCAGTCCACTGGACCACCAAGTCGCCTACCACCTTTTCTCCCTGACCCCTCGCTCCTCCAACCTCTATAATAGTGTGAGACACCCAGAAAAGATTTCCTCTCAGATATATGGCAGAAGAAGTTCCCTTCGAGCACGAGACAAAATGTGTTTCTTTTGCAAAAGAAGCGCCAAGATTCTGTCTCGAGATTTATCGCTTTGCTGTGGCAATGTTGGAAAAAAATGTGTCATGTGAAATATAGGACAACTCACTGGAAAGTTTCTTTCTATTAAACATGTTTTACTTATGAAATAATCACTGCAAACACCGGAAGTCACATTTTCTGTGTATAAAGGTCTCTCTGCATACATGAATTTGAATTGACCTTAAAAGTACCGTCACAATGTAGGATAACATATTGGACATTTCTTTGTCTGTGAATGACTTTTTGGTAAACAAAACAGACATACATTTGTTCACGAATAGTCTATATAACATATAAAACATGAAATACTATTTGGTGAAATATGAATGCTTTATGTTCATTTCTGCATTTTGTCACCAAATGTTCAAGCCAGTTCCTCAAAGCAAAGAGTTACCACTTCAGTTGGGTATTTTTCTGCATATTGAGTTTTAATCAAATAATCTGTGAGACCCCAAACACTGAGGATGCAAAGCAAATGTCAACCAAACACAAGGGCTAACGGTATGGAGCGAGTATAACATTTGAATACAGATACAGTAACTTGGATTTTTAAGCCCATATAAATGTAGCCTATAAGCGTAAAAATTCTCCCTGCGTGCACACACACCCATTTTGGATTTGTCACTGCCTTCTCCTCTTCCCTTCAAATAGCAGCTCTCTGAAATGGAATCTGCAGGCCCTCAGGGTTTCTGACAATGTTTCAGACATTCTTAAGTAAAACGAACAGCGGTATAACTTCAGCAATACCACATTTGAAAAAGTTTGCTCTATCGAGAGCGCATTGAGAGAAAGCAGGTCATGATTCCAACGGTTGTCACCTAACTTTTAGATTACCGGTTTCCTTGCCGAGCTAAATAGTACAATTTTTTCTGGAATTGTCTGTAGAATGGCAATGAAAATCACTGGCTTTCATAGCAGTAATAAAACACAATACAGTAAATATCAACATTATTATTAATACATTAAATATAATTAAATGTGAAAATATTCATCCAAATGTATGAAAATCATCAGTGAATGGTGCATCCACGTCTATTGGAAAATGCATGGCAGTGGACCACTCACAAAGTAATCATCTCTGCCAGGAAGATCGTGCGTTTAGTCGCATGCGTGCATGTGAGTGAGTGAGTGAGTGTGCACCTCTGTGTCTGTCCAAGGCTAATCTTTCATTCTGCTTCAGCAAACTGAATATTTTGGGTGGCTAGTTATGGCTGCATACTCAAGGAGCTCTCATGGTTGCTGTGACTCACACTTTCTCAAAAGACCTTTTACTGCCTGTCTTATACTGCCATTGACTGCCTGCTGTCTCCTCACTCACGGCAAACACAGCTGAGGCTGTGGTGTGTTTTGGCTCATAGCTAATGTAATGCAAAGTGTGTTTTGCTTACGGAATGGACAGTGTGTTTGGCAAACAGCTAACGGAGCTACCAGTA